GATTTTCCCTTGAATCGGTGCCTTTTATGCCTAAATAAAAGTAAATTTGATATATATATATGTATATATATATAAACTTAGATATTTTTATTAATAAATGCTTGTAATATTACAATTTCATACAAAAAAAAAAAGAAAAAAAAAATTACAATATACAAAACAGTAGCAGCTTGGAAACAGAACAAAAGCAGCTCGGAAACAGAACAGCAGCAGCAGCAGCACATAAGCAGAACAACAGCAGCAGGCAACAGTAGCAGCACATATGCAGAACAGCAGGAGCACATAAGCGGAACAGCAGCAACATGCAACAGCAGCAACAGGCAAGAGCAGCAGAAGCATCAAGCAAGCATCAAAACCTAAGGACATATACTTGCTAAAGAAGTCAGCTATAAGGAAACAACTTAATATTACAGCTTATAAGTTGGAAGAATAAACAATTTTACAACTTATAACAACCCTTTCCTAATCATTCTAAAAAATTTCTAAATAATGCACAACAAAAGAAAAAAAAATTCTCCTCTTAAAAATATACTTGTGTTACTGTTTGTGCCTTCAATAGAAACACACAAATGATACTTTCTACATAGGTTCACTAGAGGTGTATACTTCATGATTGATTCTTGAGGTATAAGTTTTCATATGCAAGCTACTTATGACTTATAAACAAGTATAAAGAGAATTCAAAGCATTGCATTTGCCAATGATAACTGACATGTGTGGTGTGCTAATGAATGTTAGCAGAATGAATATTGAATAGCATTAGACATATAAAACTAGGTCATTGTCATGGGCGAGCAGAACTTCATTTATAGCACACAATAGAAATGAGGGAAGAGTATGAGAACCAAGTCCCAGTCTGAAGCTCATCCAGAGATGGTAAATTTATAGTTTAACAAGACTATAGTCAATAATCACGAGGAGAAGAATGCAGTGTACCTTGAAACTGCTGCAGACTTAATATAGAGTTGTCAACCCCTTGAGCATGTTCGATGCTGCAGTGATAGGATCGACAGAAGGCGGAACAGGGACAGCTCTGTGAACAAATCAGTAGCTTGCTTTGCCTTAACTTCCAATGTTACTTTGGGTTCAATTGTAGCAAATCATGTACTTCACAGAAGAAAACGTAAGCCTTCATTGCACCGGTAGCAGCCTATGTCGCTCTCTTTGTCCTACTTACAAATGGTTTTCTTTCATTTTTGGTCCACAAGAAGAAAGAAGCAAAGTATGAAACTTATTTTATTCTAATGTTGATCTTTCTCTCATTATTTAGTTAGCCACAACACTGTGCTCAAGAAGATAATAGCTAGATCATTTCATGCAGAACCATCAATAATAGAAGATCAAAAACCTCTAGCTATAATTAACATACAGAAAGGGTGGAATAACGTGATTTACTTATTCAGAGACAACAAACCTTACAAAAGGCCTCCGGAGAGAACTAGGAATAGGCGGATTTGCAGCTGTTTACTACGGTTGATTGAAAGATGGGTTGGAAGTTGCTATCAAGATGCTCATGCTCTCTCCTTCAATTAATGCTTTAGATCAATGTAGTACTGAGGTTAATTATGATCAAACTACACTACCGAAGCTATTTTTTTTGTCCTGAATCACATAAATATTAACGATGAATTTTTCAATTTGAGTGATGTTGAGCTCTTAATGTCCATTCGCCACAAGATTTTGTTCTCTTTAATAGACTAATGTGAGGAAGGAGCCATAAGAAAAAGCTGTGAAAGTAGTGGGATTTACTCTTCAAACTCCTCAAACCTATGGTCAAACTCCTCAAACCTAAGACCATATCCCCAAACTCACAAAATTGCCATATCTCAAGATATACTGTGCAATCTACATCCAACTCCCTTGCTTGGCATTTCATCCAATAACCAATTCAACATCAGTATTTGTATACATAACTAACAAAATACGATGTCAGATTGTAACACCCTACAACTCCATTAAATTAAAACTAATAGGCTTCATTTTCCATTTACAATCAAACATTATTAATTTAACAATCATATTTTTGCAATATACATAGAGAATACTACATATTAAACTAATCCAATCAATAATTAAGCACAAACATTAAAAGAAATCAAATTAAAGTTGAAATAGAAGTATTAAAGTGGTAAAACAGTAATTTGGTTGAGCAATAAACAATGAAAGCAAAAGACAAAGTGTAAGAGAGAGAGAAAGAGGGACCTGGACAAGAGCGAAAGAGGGTGTTGCGAAGGGTGGATTTAACGATCGCTGCCCACAAAAGAGGAGAGTAGCCGTGAATGTAAACTTATGCTCCCTGCCATTCTCTCTATTTTCACACTTGCGTTATCTATATGAATAGTTTGTTGAGCTAGAAACCCTAATTTCAAAAAATCAACTATTATAATCAAAAATTATGGCAATTAAACATGAAATTGAACCGGGAAAGAAGAAAAATCTAAAAGTGTTTTAGTTTCATGAGATAAATTAGGGTTTGATAGGCGAAATTGAGCTTAAAATCGGAGTATCGAACACAACCACTATTCCAGCTTTACTCTCATCTAGTTCGTGATCTTCTGCCATTTTTTTTTATAGTTGTGGATGTGATCTTCTGCGGATACACTTTCATCTTTGAGAAGAGAGAGGGAGGGAGGGAAAGAGGAGAAAGAACGACAGATTGAGTGAATGAGAGGAGGAAAGAGAAGAAATCAAACGAAAAAGCTTGGGATGGAGAAATACGAGGGATGAAGAAAGTTGTGAGACTGTTATTATAAGGGTTGATTTTAGTAAAAATATTTTATAATAAAAAAAAAGTCACAATTTTCTTTTGAATTTAACTCAATTTAATTAATTTTTTCTTCAATATTTTTAGAGTATTAGGTTGGTGGATGTGGAAAGCAGTAAGCTTAGATTAGAAGTTCAAACAGAAGCTGCAGTACTTGATTGCTGTTTTCAGAATGAGTTTGTTGCTTTCTCTGCTGCTTCTGATGGATCCATTTTCAGGTAGTTTTTTTTCCCTGAAAATTAAATTTGGTTTTTTGTTGAAATTTGGGCATAATATTATTCAAGGGTTGCTTAATGAAATTGTAATTATTATCCAATTTATTACCCACTTCATGGGAGCAGTCAAAATTTACCTAAAAAAGTAAGAAAGAATGAAAATCGAAGGAAGACAATGAGAAAGGGAGAGAATGTAGAAGAGATAAGGAGGAACTTAAGGTGGAATTGTACTCTTAGTATCCCTGCTAATGATTTTTGATATGTGAGTTGTGATATTACACCCTAATAAGCGTAGGCGGTTCGTTTAAGTTGTTTGAAAATAATGTGAAGATAAAGTATGGATTTTGATCTAAAATAAGGCTAGTTATAATGGCCTACAGCATAATACAAGTATTAAAGCAAGACAGCAAGGGGTAGGAAGCTTTGATTCTCACTCATTGATCATCACTCACTAAAGAGCTTTATTTTGGAATTATAACACTCTTCTAGCAAACATAAGCCTAGAAAATGCATGAAAGGACTTTAAAAAGGGTTGGAATCTAACACTTGAAATGTAAGGTAGACTTTGGGTGTCTCTCCTTTAATGGGGTAGTATTGGCTTGCCTATGTTTTTGTTAAATATGAAGAATCTTAGAACACTATATATGTTAAGTACTAAATTACCTGAAATGTTAGATGGGAAGTTGTATACTCACCCTTGGGTGTATTGATTTATTTTGGTTGGCTACATAATTTTCAGCTGCTTCACTGTGAATCATCTTTTCGCTTATTCCGCGAAGGATATATTAGAGTTGAGCCTTAGTCACTCATACCTGGAACTATTGAATTAAAAATTCTGGTATCATGGTTATTGGATGTGGGCTTCTATTATGCTACTTATACAAGTATTAGTTATAACTCTTTCAAAAAAAGTATTAGTTATAATTGAACAACTTGGTTGCTTCCAAGCAGCATCAGTCAAAAAATTAGTGCCCCCACCCCACCCCACTGTCTTCCTTCAGAGGGGTAACTAACCTTCGTTACTGATTTTGCCACCATATACTTCACATATATCTAGCAATTCACAAGCCATCAACAAATTATACAAGTCTTGGCTGACCTCAGTTTTAATTTGCTTAAAGTAACTATTTATGTATTATAAGTACTTTCGACATGCTTCTGGAGTGATATTTGCCATATCGCAGGAATTGGCTCAGTTTGTATCAATAAACAAGTTATCCTTGATGCATCCTTTCCCTTAGTCTTATTCATACATCAAGACATGTTATACACACATTCATGTGCTAAGGGCCGAGTCAGCTGAAATGAATTTGGAACCTCTTATTGATTTGCAGGTCCATCCTTCGAACCTTTGCCCACGATGACATCAGTGCTGGGTCTTGGTTTATTGGACTGGATGTGAAGCACATTGATGAAGCAAAGCTTTGTTGTTCTTCTTGGTCATCAGGTATATTGCAAATTTTGAACACGCCAAGAAAAGATAGGGATAGGAGTGGAGACTACTCTCCCCTTCTGTGAAATTAACACTGATTGAATGGTTCTGATTTGCAATGTGTATGCCATGTTCTTCTGTAATGTTCAAATTGGTTTGACCAAGTTAATGTCATGTTGGAGTGGGCAAATCAACTGGAGTAAAAAACATTCTGTAATGGCAGCTATCACTGCTGTATGCTATCTGAATAATGTGCTTGTTAGCATGTTATTCTATCTGTTTTAGGATTGTTGAACATGTACTTTCACTTACACAAACTGCACACCAGAACATGGGAAAATTCTTTCAGTATTTTTTAATTGGTTGGTTGGGCCCTCTTCGGCAAAACATAGATGTGGGAGTAGTTTATGGCTGTGCGATTAATTGTTAACTGTGAAACAGTGAAAGTAGATAATTAAGTAGGAGTGGTCATGTGAAAATGGACAATTTATCTTTCTATAAAGCTACTTTTTTCTGTCGAAAGCTAATAGCTTCTGATAAAAGCTATACCTCTGACCTGTGTAATTTATCACTACCTCCACCACTACATTGCCATACACTTAAACCACTAAAGACTTCTCCAAAGCTAGTGCCGAAGACACCCTTAATCTGTTTTAAGAAGTTCAATTTTATTTTTTTTTATTTATAAATATATATGGATCAAATTTGATTTTTGATCCATGTTTCAATGCTAATGAGCATGATGATTGACATAATTGGAAGAGGATTTTGTTTTCCATTTTCTAAAGAGTCCTTGCAAAGTGAAGGGTTTGTTTGACCTAAGTCTTTGAATTGTTTCAGGTGCTATATGTGCAGCTGGTTGACTTTACATGTCAAGCATTATGTATCTACACACAGTAATGGCTGTTTTTACTCATTGTTTGGGTAGCTGGGTGGCCTGGTCTGGCTTTGGCTCATGGCTGCTGCTGGTTCCCTGCTGCTACTGGTTTTGGTTTCAGTGTTGAACTGGGAATGATTCAGGTAATTCTTTGCAAACCTTTCCATTTTTTTTAGGGGTAGTGACCTCATGACTTGTTAGGCTGTTAGTTTTCTGAAGGCAACTGAGGAGCAGCAAGGCAGCTGCATAATTTGGTCACCATCATTTATAAATACTATATGGGATCAGAGGCTTCCGGAAATCTAGAATCTCAATTATCCTTAAATACTTCTACAATCATAACAGTCTAGCTATCTCGTAAAGTGGTCCCTATAACATTTTAGAAGTAATGTTTTTCAAAAACTTTAAATTCTATATTTTTTTAGTTTAAAGACCTAAACTTTAAATGTTCATCCAATTGAACCTGTAATCAAAGGAGGACCACAAGCTCGGGGCTCAATAAATGAAATTTTTTTCCCATAAAAATTGGTGCTTTAGGTGGAGTAAGGACTTAGGACACCTAATTCGTAATTCTCCAAGGTAGATCAGCCAATCTAAACAGTGTAGGATCTAACATGTCATCAATGGGATTAACGCCGGGTTAGAATTTTGTGTTTTTTTTTGTTGGTATTGTGATTATGATTTATAATCACTCTGATAGTTGATGAAGAAAAATAATGCAAACTCGATAACATTAGTTCACTTCGATGGATACTTTTGTCTTATCACTTTGTATAATGACTTTGAGCTTGAATTTATCAGGATGCCTCAGCAGTTGGAGCTTTCTATGAGCTCCTGAGTCAATTCTCTCTGAACGTGTCTCAGCATGGAGAACGCAAGCCAGTCAATTCGTTTGAGTTATGTCCGATCTTAAAGACACTATATATACAAGATACTCATAAAAAGGTGATATATACACCTGCTAGATTAATTAGCTAATTATGCAAGATACATATTACTGATGTTTAGTTTGTCAATTGCCTGCTGTGATAATTTACAGGGAACAATCTTCACAAGACATTCTCCAAGCACTGAGGGATGAGAACATGAATGATCCCCGGGATCGAATCGAAATGGCTCAATCACATACTTTCTACATGCCTTCACTCCGCTGAGTTGTCGTATGTGTTCAGGATGCTGTAGCCTTGTATTTTATTTTGATTTATATTTTATTTTTTTGGACGAAATTGTAATATTACAGCCTATTTTAATGAAAATATGTAACTTTATATATATGTTAGTGTTTATATATCAATTTAAGTGAAAAAAATGCAAAAAAAAAAATTTTATTTTTTTTGGGCATTTTTGGCACCGGTTTTGGAATAAAACCGGTGCTTAAAGTTATTTTTAATTTTTTTTGCCACTTTTTGCACCGGTTTAAAGCAAAAACCGGTGCTAAAAGTGTGGTTTTTCGCACCACTTCTCACCCAAAACCGGTGCGAAAAGTCTGATTTTGCACCGATTTTGAACCGGTGCTAAATGTCTGGGGTTTTAGCACCCCCAAATCAGGACCGCTTCAAAATCGGTGCTAAATAGGGGTTTTGAACCGGTGCGGATTACGTGTTTTCTCCTAGTGTTAGTCACAATAATTAAAGTGAGCGCCGCTCCGATACCGCTGTTGGGTTTCGTAGAGTCCGAATCTACGCGGAAGGGAAACCCACCCAAGACCCGCACACTAATTATAGCGACTAAGCATGCAATCACTAATTAAACAACAATTAAGAGAGAGAAAGAAAAGACATTCTTACCCTTGTCGCGTGCGTCGCTCAAATCTCGAGCTCTTACTTGAACCCCGCAAATGCAAGGCCTCCGACGGCTCGTACCCAAGAACCCGACCCGAACGATCCAAGTCCCGAAGGTTAGTCGAGACCCGACCAATAAAAACTACAGTTTTACCAACTTAAGGTTTTCTCACTTTTCTTAAGGAGATGCCTTTTTAGTTCCACTCAAGTGTTCTTCCCAAATCCCAAAACCTTGGTATTTATAGGGAAATGAACCTTGAATTCTCACTCTTGATCAATGTGGGAGATTTGCAATTTTCTCATTTTATTTTAATTAAAACAAAATTAAAATTGCAAAACAATCAATAAGTTACAAGTGGCACAAGGAGGAAGAGAGATTAGGTGAGGACCATTTCCAAGGGGGGGGGGACCATAGCCTTGGTGCCCAAGGCAATGCCCACAACCCTTGGTCCCCACTTGGTCAAAACCGGCATCCTCCATGTGGCTGGCTTGCAGCCTGCCTTGGCTGCCAAGGTTGCCAGCTGGCGCCTAGCACCAAGGCTGGGCAGCCAGCCAGCACAGCTAGCACCCCACACGCACATAGCGCAGCCAGCTAGCAAGCACCCCACACATAGCCAGCATGCGTGCTGCTAGCGAGCCACGCATGCTGGGCGCTACAATGCTAGGCATACGCACATGCACGCTGCTAATTGGTGTTGTGCTAGCGATGCACACGCACACGCATGCTGCTGCTGCTTGGTGTTGTGCTAGCGATGCACACGCACACGCACGGTGCTGCTGCTTGGTGTTGTGCTAGCGAGCACACGCACATGCACGGTGCTGCTGCTTGGTGCTGTGCTAGCGATGCACACGCACATGCACGGTGCTGCTGCTTGGTGCTGTGCTAGCGATGCACACGCACATGCACGCTGCTGCTGCTTGGTGTTGTGCTAGCGATGCACACGCACACGCACGGTGCTGCTGCTTGGTGTTGTGCTAGCGATGCACACGCACATGCACGGTGCTGCTGCTTGGTGCTGTGCTAGCGATGCACACGCACATGCACGGTGCTGCTGCTTGGTGCTGTGCTAGCGATGCACACGCACATGCACGGTGCTGCTGCTTGGTGCTGTGCTAGCGATGCACACGCACATGCACGGTGCTGCTGCTTGGTGCTGTGCTAGCGATGCACACGCACATGCACGGTGCTGCTGCTTGGTGATGTGCTAGCGATGCACACGCACATGCATGCTGCGATGGTGCGACGAGCAGTGCTAGGCCTTGCCTAGCGCCAGCGCCTAGCATGCTAGCAAGGCCTAGCCTTGCGATGCTTGGGCGCATGGCCTGCTAGCACACACGCAAGGGCCTAGCACGCCTAGCATGCTAGGATTGCGATGGATCTTGCCTAGCCTAGCAATTTAATTTCAGAAATGCCATTGTGAGAAACGCTTATGTTTCTCACAATGAGAAACAGAGATTTTCCCATTTAAGTTGCAGTTGAAAAACATTTAAAGATTATTCATTTGATTACAACATAGATATTTTTGTTTAATATAACTTGTTAGTTTAATAATATAAACCATGATGATTTTTGTGTCTGCACCGCAGATTAACATTTAAGAAATATATTGAAAGTTTTCTCATTATTTAAGGTCAGGGGCGGACCCACCTTTAGTCATAGTGGGTCCGGTGACACAGTTTTTTTATTAAAAATAAAATATCAAAGAGACCACTTATTATAGATAGGCGATCTTTTTGATGCTGCTATTGGTGACAACAAATAATATCAAAGAGACCGCTTATTAAGATAGGCGATCTCTTTAATGCTGCTATTGCTACAAAAGACTTGGTGTGTTTTTTTTTAAATATTAAAGAGACCTGTTATTTATATAAGAGGTCTCTTTGATGCTGCTATTGCATTTCGCAATTTTTTTGCGCTACTTTCTTTTTTCATTAAAGAGACCAGTTATATTTAATAACTGGTCTCTTAAGTTATCTCACTTTTTTTTGTATAATTTTTTAATAATTTTTTTCCCTTTTTATATCTTATATTTGTACAACCAATTTTAATATTTCCCCATAAAGCTTATCAATTAACTAAAAAATCATAAAGTTAATTCAATATAATAATTTTATTGTACCATTTGTTTATAACATGTTATTTGTAGTATTTTCGACTTGTAAAATTGAATTCTTAAGTATTGTATTTGGTTGTGGTATGAATTTTTGTGTCCTATTTTTGGATTGAAATCAATTTGGTGAAATATATATATATATATATATATATATATATATATATATATATATATATATATATATATATATATATATATATATAATTTTTGGATTGAAATTAATTATGAACAAGACATGGAAAAAAAAATTGTACTTTCACAAATGATCAATAATTGATGGTGACACACTATCTCGGAAATCCTGGATCCGCCACTGTTTAAGGTGTACGGAATCCATATTCAAGTAGTTCAGCACTACCCAATCATACACAGATCGAGAATTCTTTTCTTGATTGAAAGTCTGGTTCAAAAGCTCTGTATCTATGTTAGCTTGTGTGGACATAGATATGATCTAAAATAAGTATAGTCATGTTGTCTAACCCTTGACTCGTTAACTATAAAAGCCAAAACAAGCAACCATTAGCTAGATCGCCTGGCTGCTTAGTGCATCATGATCTATTGCTATCTCATAGCTTACACTCATGCATAACCATTGACCATTGTACATTATTCATTTCTGTACGTACCTTGTTCTCTGGTTTCAAAAGTCTTTCAAATTGCTTTTTCTCCATATATGATTGACCAAAATTGTAAGCTCTATACGCTGCTCTATCATGTCAACTAAAAAATTAATAAAAGTGCCAGCTTGCTTATGTGTTTATGTGTTACGATGTTTACTTTGTCATGTCATGTGTCATACATTTTCCTTCTTCTGCGTTTGTCAATCAAGTAATTAGATGCGAGATGCAGGTTGTGACTATCTATGTGAATGCAAAGCAAATTGCAGTTCAATAATACCATCTTAAAGCACCGTGTTGCACAGAATTTTATTACAGCTATAGTAAACTCATGGAGCGAAATATTTAACAATTTAAGGGGTTCATTGCAACCTCTAGGAAAAATAAAAATCTTAGTACTTCTATAAACATGTACTACGTACTATATTTCCAATCTGCAAGACCTTGTAACACTACAATGGTGTTAATGTTCACATTTTCACGCAATGACATTCTTAAGAGTCGTATTTATAGGTGGCTTACAATTAGTCACGCATAATGATTGCAGTTTGAAAGAATTCAATCTTGTTCCTGGTGATTGGCCATCTCAATTGATGATGCTGCATCGGCTCCTTCTGCAGTCCGGTCTGCAGCAGTGGCATTAGGTCTGTTAAACCCAGTGCTATATCTTTCCATAGCCTCCTTATTGTATGAGCTTCCCATCTTTATTAACGAAACAACACAATTAATACATGTTAGGATGATCTCCCCGAATCCCAAATTCATAAAGAAAGAACTATGCAGTAGATTTTAGAAGCTAGAAAGTAGCAGCTTCAAATTAATTTATTTTTTTTTTAAAGGAAGTAGCAGCTTTAAACGAGGAAGACCTTTAGTTGCACTTTGTCTACTTTGACAGCTTTTTTCTACTTAAGATGAACATAATTATAGTGATTGTCATTAATCTTTTAAACATACTGATCTGGACATCGGGACTGTGGATTTCCTCCTTACTCAGGAGGGGTTCTCCACGTAAGAATCTTGTTCTATCGATATGAAGTGTAGTTAAAACCAATTATTCGCTCTATTTGTAAAGACTTGATAACAATTACCAAAATGAAGCCTGTTCTCATAGCTGTGTAGTCAGCTTTTGTTACAATCCCAGCAAGGTGCTTGAAGAATGAAATCTGAAAGCAGAATGTGAATGTAAATGGTACTAAAACTACACCTTCGAACCGGTCCTTGATAAATGTGAGACTTTTAACATCCAGTACTCTGTATTGTGTATGTAAGTTAGATTTGACGGTGCTAGTTAAAGGCTTGCGTTGGGCAGTAATGCAGTATGGGCACTACTTGAGCTTTATATAGAAGTTTGGTGTCCTTTCATTCTATTTTTATCTTTCTATTTGTGTTTTGCACTGTTTTTAATGTGCAAATTTGACTATTACTGTAATATCTTTAATTTTGTATTAGTAAATATATGAAAATACAAATTGCAACAAATCGGATAGTATCTCATATGATAACTTTTTATCTTAAGTAATTACAACATACAATCAAAGTTTTATAATTTTGATCACATGAATAATAAATAGGAAGATCAAAAATGGAAGAAGTAGACATTTTCTGAATAGTAGTAGGCTGAATATGGCATGTTAGTTAAGCTATTACAGTCTTAGTACTATACATGGACACATGGTAATGATCAAAATAAAAATGGTGCTCAAACTTGCTTGAAAGTGTACA